CTGTCCGAAGAGGTCGTTGGGGCCAACTCCAGGTGTTGTGGCTGGCAATGCAAGTCGACAGCTTGTTGAGTTTCTATAGCCCGGTTCATGCGGCCGTTCGCCGAGCCTTCTTCGGCGCCGTCATGCAACCGTCGGTGCAGCTGATGCGATTCCCGTCAGCGCAATGGATTATTCTCTCTTGTGCGGGTCGAACGGGTCGTTCGAATTCGTGTCCACACCCTGCAAAACAGCGGAGCAAACTGTAAGCACGGTCATATTTATGCGTTGAGGGCACAGAGTTCGCCGGGATCCGAATTTGGCGGGTGCAGGAGTAGCAAGGAACCTGTTTTCGCGTGGCTTGTGTCAGTGGAAGGTAGCGCCAGTGGGTGCACACAAGGAACGCTATGATTGGGCGAACAGAAGGAAGGCTCTGTTGTCGGTGGACGATAGCACGCGCAGAACAAAGGGTAGGGGTGGATGCACCACCACATAATTCGGCGTAGCGCGACCCCAAACAGACCCCTATAAACACCGATTCTCACCATCGTCTAAGCGAGCTCGTGCGGTGCTCCATTCGCTGGCACTAGTGCAATAGCGACCCCCGATTCGCGCGCCGGGAACGTCGACGTGCGACAACGCAAACCACACAGCACGCAGAAACACAAGCATGTCTGCGTCAAGACTTCGTACACCGCGACGGTCAAAACCCTTGGGGGTCAGAAAAGATCGTGGGTGCAAACAATTGCTCGCCTTCTGAAATGCCCTTGAAGGGGTTTATGGGGGTTGCCGATGGTGACAACGGTCGTGTCCCTTACTTTCGGCAACCCCCATGAACCCCTTCAAGGGCATTTCAGAGGGCGAGCAATTTCTCGCACCCGCAGTCCTCTCGCAATGAACTCACATTTGAAGCTCCAGGCGCCATGCGAAGGACGGATAGATTTGCGCCGATCCTCAAAGTCCGCCAGGATCCGAACTTGGCGGATTTGCCTGCAGCGAGTAACAAGTTTTCGCGCGGCTGCAGGTATTGGAACGAGTGGATGGCGTNGGATCCGAACTTGGCGGATTTGCCTGCAGCGAGTAACAAGTTTTCGCGCGGCTGCAGGTATTGGAACGAGTGGATGGCGTTTGCACAGAAGCAGGCGATGCTCGGCCGCACCGCATTTCGGGGCGGCGATGAACGAAGATCCACGGCACATCGGAAATGCACCCGGCCAGTGACACCGTCGTCAACCCCAATAAACCCCTTTCAGGGCAACTCACAAGGCGAGCACTTTTTCGCACTACCAGGCCGCCGGCATTGAAGACGGACTGGGCAGTCCAAGCTGTTGAAAATAATGGTCAGATTCACGGGGAGCCTCTAAGTTCGTCGGAATCCAAATTTGGCGGGTGCACGAGTAGCAAGGAACCTGTTTTCGCACGGCTTGTGTCAGTGGAAGGTAGCTCCAGTGGGTGCACACAAGGAACGCTATGTTTGGGCGAACAGAAGGAAGGCTCTATTGTCGGTGAACGATAGCACGTGCAAAACAAATGGTAGTGGTGGATGCACCACCACACAATTCGGCGCAGCGCGACCCCAAACAGACCCCTATAAACACCGATTCTCACCATCGTCTAAGCGAGCTCATGCGGTGTTCCATTCGCTGGCACTAGTGCAATAGCTATCGAACACGGACATCTCCACTGCGCAGACAAGAAAAATGCAGAAAAGGATGAAAGAACCCTCCTTAAACCCTTCCAAACATTGATTCCTCCATTCGAGAAGGGGACTCCCGATTCGCGCACCGGGGAACGTCGACGTGCGGCAGTGCGAATTGGACAGCACGCAGAAACACAAGCATGTCTGCGTCAAGACTCCGCACACCACGACGGTGAAAACCCTTGGGGGAGCAGAAAAGATCGTGGGTGCGAAAAATTACTCGCCTTCATAAATGCCCTTGAAGGGGTTTATGGGGATTGCCTTCGTTGACAACGGTCGTGTCCCTTATTTTTGGCAACCCCCATGAACTTCTTCAAGGGCATTTTAGAGGGCGAGCAAATTCTCACACCCGGAGTCCTCTCAAAATCAACTCACAGTCGAAGCTCCAGGCGCCATGCGGAGGACGGATAAATTTGCGCCGATCCTCAAAGTCCGCCAGGATCCGAACTCATTTCGGGGCGTCGATGAACAAAGATCCACGGCACACCGGAAATGCACCCGGCCAGTGACACCGTCGTCAACCCCAATAAACCCCTTTCAAGGCAACTCACAAGGCGAGAACTTTTCCGCACTACCAGGCCGCCGAAATGCGGTAAGATTTACGGGGAGCCTCTAAGTTCGCCGGGATCCGAATTTGGCAGGTGCAGGAGTAGCAAAGAACCGGTTTTCGCGCGGCTTGTGTCAGTGTCTCTCGAAGGGGTTAATGTGGGTTGCCGACGGTGACAACGGCCGTGTCCCTTATTTTCGGCAACCCCCATGAACCCCTTGAAGGGCATTTCAGAGGGCGAGCAATTTCTCGCACCCACAGTCCTCTCGCAATCAACTCACACTCGAAGCTCCAGGCGCCACGCAAAGGACGGATAGATTCGCGTCGATCATCAAAGTCCGCCAGGATCCGAACTTGGTGGATTCGCCTGCATTCGTAAGTGGTGGATGGCGTTTGCACAGAAGCAGGCGTTGCTCGGGCGCACCACATTTTGGGGCGCCGATGAACGAAGATCTACCGCATACCGAAAATGGAGCCGGCCAGCGACACCGTCGTCAACCCCAATAAACCCCGTTCAGGGCAGCTTACAAGGCGAGCAATTTTGCGCAATACCAGGCCGCCGGCATTGAAGACGGACGGAGAAGTCCAAGCCGTCGAAAACAACGGTCAGATTCATGCGGCGCCTCGAAGCCCTTCGGGATCCGAATTTGGCCGGTGCGGGAGTAGCAAGGAACCTGTTTTTGTGCGGCCGGTGTCAGTGGAACGGAGCGCCAGCGGGTGCACATAAGGAACGCTATCCTCGGCCGCACAGAAGGAAGGCTCTGCAGCTCTCAATCTGTCGTTGAACGTCAGCACACGCAGAGCAAAGGGCAGCAGTGGATGCACCACCACAAAATCGGACGCAGCGCGACCCCAAACTGACCCCTAGGGCAAGAGTTCATCGAGATCGGACATCCCAACCGCGCCTTCCAAACCCTGATTCGGCCAGTCGAGAAGGCGACCCCCGATTCACGCGCCGGTAACATCGACGTGCGAAAGCGCGAACCGGAAACCAGGCAGAAACACGAGCATGTGTGCGACAAGAATCCGCGCACCGGGACGGTCAAAACCCTCTGGGGACAACAAAGATCGACGGCACACACACAAGGGACACGGCCGCTATCACCGTCGGCAACCCCGACAAACCCCTCGAAGGGCATCTTAGAAGGTGAGCAATTTTTCGCACCCACAGTCCTCGCGCAATCAACTCACACTTGAAGCTCCAGGCCTCATGCGAGCACTTTTGCGTGCCCGGAGGCCTCTCGTAATCAGAACGCACTCGACAGTCGTGGCCGTCGAAAACGGCGGTTAAATTTACGCGGGACCTCAAAGTCCGCCGGGATCCGAACTTGGCGCTTGCTGGACTGGCTAGGAACCGCTTTGCGCGGGGGACGACGGATATTTGGATGACCGGTGTGGAATTGCACAGAAGGAACGCTAGGCTTGGCTGCATGTTCAGGGAGGCCCTGCTGCTGCTCACAAGTGTTTGTTCCGACAGAGCACGCAGAACAGAAATGGTCCTCGCAGGTGCACCACGTCGAAAATTAGCGCAGCGCGGCCCCCAATAGACCCCCATGGACCCCGATTATCCTCATCGACAAAGCGAACAGTCATGCAACCAGGACTCTAAAAAGATCCATGCAAACGGTAAGCGTCTTATTTCAGCGACGCGGTCAAAACAACAAAATCATCCGAGCAGCCCGCGACTTCGCATGCTTCAGATTGCAAGTCCGTCGGGATCCGAACTTCGTCGCACGCTGAAAACTGGCATGGCGTTATGAACTATCGACCCAACGCCCGAAAGGTGGGAACTGTGTCTCGCAAAACGTAGTCATCAGGGCAACCAGGGATGGCATTGTGACCGCGAACGCGAAACCAACAACCGCCAAAAAAATGGGAACTTCAGATCCCGGCGAACTACAACAATCATGCGCTATTTTTGCACCTGCGCGTGCTCTCCCTGTGGCCGAGCGACCACAACAGATTGCTGCTTTCGCGAGAGCACTGCGCATGATTGCTGTAGTTCGCCGGGATCCGAACTTCCCATCTCGCCAGGCAACCACACGCCACGCGCCGTTTTTCGTTTGGCTGTTGTTGGTTTCGAGCTTGCGGTGACAATGGCGACCCCCCTTGCCCCGATGACTGAGACGTTTCCCGGAGGCGGCCGGATTGTTCGTTACCGAACAAGGACATGTTTTCGTGTCGAGGTTGTCGTCACGAAACATGTGGCGCTCACGCCGAAGAAACGCCATCGTCATTGCAGCGAGCGGCACAGACGTTCTCCATCGCGCGCACGCAACGTGTGCGTTCTTCGTTCTGGAGCCCGCGGATGTTGCGCGCACAGTCCTGGCATTTGTCGTGCAGAATGCGATATCGCATCCCTCACGACCAGCGCCAGGAGCGCGCGCTCAACATCCATGGCCTCTATGGTGGATCATGTGCACGTTGTGTGCGCGGGATGGAGATGACAGCAACTCTCCCGGGATTGACGCCATAGTCTCTTCGGGGAGGGAGGCTCAAGTGTTGCGGCGAAAACACAAATACAGAACGACCACCCCCTCCTGTTTATGAATACCTTACCTCTCACTGCACGCCACGTGGATGGCGGACATCCTTCCCACCGTGGCCACCGCGCGACGCTTAGTACCAACAGCGGTCGTGCGCAGCCCATGCGTCTCCTTTGTGATAACCAACCTCTAATCTCTTTGTTGAGAACAGCAAATGAGCGAGGGAAGTGTTTCAAAGGGGTTTGGTGTTCCGCTGGGAATAGGCGATTTCGTGTTTGCCTCGACCGTGCGGGAGTGGTTTGCAATGCCCAGCTTGTGGTCAACGACAATTTTTCTTCAATGCCAAGCCAAACAAGAGTCGTGGGGGCGGTCGCGTCGAACGAATGAGAGAGAAGCATAACGGGACACGCAAACCATGTGCCCCGATGCCCACGTTATCTATTCCCGCCGTCCCAGCCACTTGCGACACGTGGCACGACATGAGGACAATGATGACGACGGTGATGAACACGATGATAGTGACGATTACGGTGGTGATGTTGATCTGGGCGACGATGTCACTGACGATGATGACGATGTTGATGACGATGATGATGTCAATGATGATGTTCGTGATGATGATGATTGTGATAACGACGATGATGATGATGACGATGATGACGACGATGATGACGATGTTGATGATGGCGATGAAAACGAAGATGACGATGGCGGTGATTTCAATGACGGCGACGATGTCGCTGATGATGATGATGTTGTTGATGACGTTGATGATGTTGATGATGTTGTCGATGATGATGACGATGTTGATGACGTTGACGAGGTTGATGATGATGTTGTTGATGATGATGATGATGTTGATGAAGAAGATGATGATCATGATGACAATGATGGTGATGATGATGATGATGATGAAGATGATGACGCTGATGGTGGTGGCGACGATGATGGTGATGATGGGGGCGATGATGATGATGATGATGATGGCAAGCAAGAATCACCGGGCCGCTCGCGACTTGAAACAGGTGGCGAGACGCGGCCGCTCCCATGGGTCGGCAAACATGCCTGACACGAGGGCAGGCAGAACAACACTTTGCCTTGAAGAGGGCACAACGCACACGATGGCGCTGCTCTTTGACGGCTCACAGTTCTTCGAGGAGGCGCAGTTCTTCAACGACGGCGAAGCGCACACGATGGCGCAACTGTTCGACAAGGGATCAGCGCAAACAGCGTTGGCCACTTGCTGACGCAGGATGCAGAGACGAGATGTCGAAGCGAAGACAACCGAACCACAGACGACAGTTGTCGACGAGAGGAAGCCCCTGCGCCCACGCCCGCCGCCGCCTGGCGCAACAGCGGAGCAGAAAAGGCGATGGAGGATATCGCTGACGGGACGCCGAGCGCGAATGCGCTCGTCGGGCTCGAGATGCGAAAGGGCTGCCCCAGACCCGAGGCAGCTGAGCGTCCGACTGTCGTCGCACCCCACGGAAAGACCCGCGTGTGTCCCCCCGCACGGCCACAGACCCCGCTCGCCAGCCAGGAGACGCGAATTGCCGCGAACCCCTCCAACCTCCCCTTCCCCCGAGCCCCCCGCCCCCCTCCCCCCTCCCGTGGTTCTCCCCCCTGACCCCTGGAAAGTACAAACTGCCCCCCGCCGACACCTGAGACCCCCTCCACCGGGGCCCGCGAACCCGAAGACACGAACGCGAGGGGCCCAGAACAAGGGCCCGTTTTCCAATGACGTCCAGGAAGGGCCAGCCCGTAGGGACGTTTTTGTCACATTTCGACGCACCAGGCCCCCCTCGCGACAATTTCGACGTGCAGCCACCGTTCGATGCGCGGATCGAACAGACTAGAGTCGGGGCGCAGACCCTGCACGGATATCCGAAACGAAAGGCCCGAGGGGACCTCGTGTCCCGCGTGCCTACAAATACGAGCGACGCCCTGGGCATTGACGATGCGTTTTTCGTTTTTTGCTGGGGAGATGCTGCCCGACAGAAGCCACGCACCGCCACTCTCGTCAACTGCTGGCTCGCCATAGCTGGCACAGCCATTCTTCACCGCGCACGTTTCGTGGCACCGACGCACCCCACATGCCCTCGCATGTCCCTCCGCCTACCAAGTCGCTGTCCGTGTCATATACGACGTCGCTCCCGATCTCCTTTCTCGGAAGGCGCGACCGCCACCCCACGCAGCACCCCAGCAAACGCGAAGTGCACGCCCAAAGGTGGACAGAGTGCCGTCACGACAAACGTCGGGGTTCGCGCTCATCTTCACTCGGCAGTTCCACACGGTGAGTGCGCACGCAGTCGGGATGTATGTTTGCATGTGCGCGCGTGCGGGGGAGGTTTTTTGTGACGATATGCTCGCGCAGATCGAAAGATTTCGTGGCTGCATGTGTGCGGGTGGGCGTGTGTGTGTGTGTGTGTTTGTGTGTGATTGTGTGTTTGTGCATGTTTCATTCTGTGTGTGTGTGTGTTCGAGCGTGTGTGTGTGTGTGTGTGTGCCTGTATGTGCCTGTCTGTGCATATGTGTTCGCGTGCGTGTGTGTTCGCGCGCGTTTTCCGCGGGGAGATGTGCGCGAACGTGCGCGGTCATGGACGAACGTCATGGTTCACCCTTCGATTCCAGTTGTGTGTGGATGTGTGAGGATGTGTGAGGAGAGTATCAACAGATGATTGCGCTCGTGCTGTACTCAAGTGGCGAAGCACGGAAGCTTGGATCGAACACGGTGCGGCCAATAACGAAACACAACGTCATCGTGAGCACTTGCCATACCCGATTTGCCTCAATGGATGATCAATCGAAACACGCGGTGGCAATGTCGACACAGCTCTGATCGAACATGCGGCGGTTTTGTGTGCTGTCACAATGTCATGTCCGCCGATCTGTCCAATGGATGATCAATCGAAACACGTGGCCGTTTTGTGGGCTGTCCCAATGTCATGTCCGCCGATCTGCCCAATGGAGGATCATGGTGGCAATGTCGACACAGCTAACGCATCCATCGACCAATCGCGAAACACGATTAGATCACTCGCGATCGGATGATTGGTCGTGTCTGCCGTGTCGACGCAACCACTGCGTGTGTGTTGTTTTTTCTGTCGTGTGTGTTAAGATCACTCGTTATCTGATGGTCGATTAGATCCATGACAATATGTACACCACACACGTGATGAACCAACCCATCACGAAACGCAAGCCAACCACTCGCGATCGGGTGATAGATGGTGTTTGCCTCCCCAACAATAGCGCCGCTGATCTGCCCGACGGATGATAAACCAATGCAGGAGGCGACAACGCATCCAACCGACCAATCGCGAAACGACAGAAGATTACTTGCGATCGGATGATTGATCGTGTATGCTGCACCAAAGATCAACCCGCCGGCGAGCGACCTGTTTATTTACCCACCTGACAGTCCTCGACCGAACCGTCGATCGGTCAGGAAATCTGCCAGGATCAACTGATTGGTCGACAGATCGGTTGGCAATTGCTCTGCTGGTTGATCAACCACCACACCAACCGCCAATTGAGCAGCCGATCAACCAATCGACTGTTCTGTGCTAATTGATCGTGGAGAACGATCGCGGAGAATCCTCAAGGCAAATGATCATGTGCACGGTCGAAACCGGCGAATGAAACGCACAACCGATCGAAAAAACGTCGATCCCGATCTTCGAACGAATAAAAAGCACTTCGTCACAATCTTGTTGCCCATCGAACCTCGTATAACATCGAACCATGCTGCCCACGGAACCTGGCTCCATATCAAACCTCGGCGGGCGTCGAACCTCGTCGGACGTCGAACTTTGAGCACCCACCACCCCACGTGTCGCCGACATTGTTCTCGTGATTGGAACGTGGCCGTTCCAACCGAACTGATCGCGCAATCAAACACCGGAAGAAGTTGGGATCCCGGCGAGCTTGTGCAGCTGTTCGAACACGCTTCTCAACCCCGGTGCGCAACCATAGCCAGGGACGTGGAAAATTAGAAGTCCGCCGGGATCCGAACTTCAAGAATTTGTTGGACGGCGAGTTTGGCAGACACGTGTTCATCTCCCGTGCAATTTCGCCAAGTTCGGATCCCGGCGAACTTCATGCAGCTATTCGAACATGCTTCGCAACCCCGGTCCCCAACCACAGCCCGGGACGTGTAAAAATTGGAAGTCCGCCGGGATCCGAACTTGAAGAAATTGCTGGACGGCGAGTTCGGCAGACAGGTGTATGTCTCCCACGCAATTTCGCCAAGTCCGGATCCCGGCGAACTTCATGCAGCTGTATGTCTCCCTCGCAACCCAGGTCCGCAACCACAGCYTGGGACGTGGAAAAATATGAAGTCCGCCGGGATCCGAACTTCAAGAAATTCGCAGGACGGCGAGTTTGGCAGACAGGCGTGTATCTCCCACGTAATTTCTCAAAGTTCGGATCCCGGCCAACTACAGGTTCCTGCTGGCCTGCGGATCCAAACCTCGCTCGCACTATTCCTTGCACACTCGCCGAGTCCGGACCTCGGCGAACCTCGGATCCGTGATAATGCGAAGTCCGCGGGGATCCGGACTTCTACTGCACGGTTCCTCGCACAGACGTCAAGTTCGCACCCCGAGGACTTCGCTTGTCTCAATGTGCGGGTTCAGAACGCAGGTTTCTAGCTCCCGGGGTTTGGCACAACTTTGTATTTGAGAAAATGTGTAGCGCGCCGATTGATTCTCTCTCACGCGGTCTCGAGAAGTTCGGATCCCGGCGAACACCCTCCCGTGAATTCGGACATCGCGTGGCAAGTTCGGACCCCGGCGAACTTCGCGTCGCGCATGGTGTGGGTACTGATTGTGTCCTTTCTCGCGAACGGGTGTTTGCCACAACTTTTGTTTCGGAAAAATGCGAAGTCCGCTGGGATCCGTACTTCTCGTGCAATGGTTCCTCGTCCCATCATCGGGTTCGCTTGCTGGGCCGTGGATCCGAACCTGTTGTCTTCCTTTCGCAGTGCATGTGGCAGGAGATGTTCCTTTCACAAGTACGGATCCCGACGAATTTTCCAAGTTCGGATCCCGACGAATTTGAGTTGTCTTCCTTTCGCAATGCATGTGGCAGGAGATGTTCCTGCAGGGCCCTGGATCAGAACCTGCCGTGCACGGTTCCTCATGAAATCGTAAATTTCGGATCACGGCGGACTACGGATTCTATAAAATGCAAAGTCCGCTGAGATCCGAACTTCCCCTGCACGGTTCGTCGGAAAACCGTCGACTTCGGACCCCGGTGTGCTTCACCTTTCGGGTGGTGCGGGGTCTGACTGTGGACTTCCTGGCGGCCGGTGGATTGCCACAACTTTTCATTCGTGCGAAATTGTAAGTCCGCCTGGATCCGAACTTCTTGGCAGTTTTTGACGTCGGGTTTGGGAGACAGCTTCGTCTTTCCCGCGCAATCTCTCCAAGTTCGGATCCTGGCGAACATGTCGCTGGGCGTGTTTGCGGCTGGCCCGCGGGCATACACTGCGTCTAATGCCATGGGTCGCACATCGCGAAATCGGATCTTGGGGCATACACTGCGTCTAATGCCATGGGTCGCACATCGCGAGACATGACGCGTTTACGAGTGTCTCCGTGCCCGTGTGTGTCGTCGGGCATGTGCGCGTGGTGTGCAGGTTGCGTGATGGAGGGGACCTTCTCGACACCACGCATCTTCGAGTCGATCTTCTCGAGACCACAGGCCATGAGTGCCGAGACGCACATTTGCTTAGCAGAACCTTTTCGTCCTTGTGCGAAATCCGTGCGGCATTTCAACGGTGTGACGACGATCCACGGAGCGACCGCAGAAGACTTCGACGAGGACCTATGGATGACCGTCGTTCTGTGCAGGGACTTGACGACTGGGGCGAGGGCAATTGGGCCAGTATGGAGAGTCACTGCCCTTGGGCAAGCCAGTACAAGTTCGCGAATATGTTGGAGTTCGGGGACCTCATCCCACTGCCTGACGCCGTCCTCGGACATAAGTTCTTGAACCAAATGTAAAAAGCACTAAGCTGCATTAGCCGCTATTTCAGTCGCCTCGAGTGCCACAACGTCAGGTCGTCGCCACGAACTTGGGGCGGCTCGCGGAAACAAGAGTTGATGGACTCCGCTCGTCGCTGCTTGTTCCTTAACCAGTACCCGCTCCGTTGCCCTGGGATTTCTCCACGAGCTGTGTCGTACTGTTGTGTGCGGTTGACTGTTTCCGGATCTGATTTCGCCAGAGTTCTGTGTGTCGCTGCTTCGAACAAGAGCAGGAAACTCGTCGACGCAGTTGTGCTCGTGTCGCGCAACGAGGTTGTGATTGAAGGGTCCAAATTCGTGCCGATGCATGGGCCTGAACGTGTGGATCGGTGGCCAGATTTGGTGATAGCAGGTCAGGTTCGAAACTATTCGTTGTTTCGTGAGGTTGAGGAGAAAGCGGCTGACATACGGGACTGCATAGGAAACTCCTTGGCACGACCGGGGGTGTTTGTTAGGATGAAATACATGTCCGTTTTTTTCGGAGATTGCATTGGTCGACGAACCGCAGACCCTCGTCTACGGATCGTCACTGAATGCTTTGTTTGGCTTCGGTTCACGACGTCGTCCCGGAGGATCCCCAAATATCGCCGCATCCGAACCGGTCTTTAGTCCTTCAGTTTGAGGGAAAAGAACGACGAGGGACGAGATGCGGTTGTGCTGCCTGACATGTCTGCGGAGAAGTGTGAGACTCCGCGGTTGCTGGTACACGTTGCACCGCGTGCTTGTCGTGCAAATCCCTGGTCGTCGTTCGGTTCAGTGACATGAAAAAAATCATGTTGGACGCCCGTCTATGACGCCGTCTCCTGCCATGTCGTGCCCTGGCGAAGTTCGGATCTCGGCGAACTTCGCGTTCTGGCCTCTCCGTTAATTTGTCTCTGATGTCATTGGCGTCGGGCGGGCCGTGGGAAAGACCCATCACCGTGGAAGGATCTGCCCGTAACCGCTTTTCGCCCGTCCACAATCAACATGTGCCAAACAGTCGGTCACTGTCGTAGCGAGATGCCAAAAGCACATTTAGAGATCCCCGTCGCAAGGTCATGCGAGCTTCGCGTTCCCTGAAACCCGTTGGAGATCCCGGTTGGCGGGCCCTCTTGTTGGAAATACCATTGGCACCGTGCTAGGACACCTTGCTAGGATCCCAACTTTCTGTCTGTCTCTCTCGCAGCCTCATGAAGTTCGGATCCCGGCGAACTTCCTGTGACGCCTGTGTATTGAACGGGCGCTGGGCTTGATGATCCCCGGTGGATTGCGACACGAGTCAAACCCTGATCCACAACTACTCCTCTAGGGACTCATACAATATTGTCGCGGCTGCTCGTTCGAACTTGGCTTCATCCAATGCCAAGCTGTGCATATCAGAAGAAGTTCGGATTTCGGCGAACTTGTCCTTCTCAAGCGGCCTTTTGTGTTAGTGCGGCCTTCCTGGGTCGTAGTTCAGTCCAATCTGTGTTTGCCTGACGCCGTCTCTGCCTGTCACATTTTCCTGAAGTTCGGATCCCGACGAACTTCACGTTTCGGTGGGTGCGTTGGTTCGGCTTCGGACAGGCACTTTTAGTACGGATCTCGGCGAACTTCGAGTCCTGAACTTTGCTTAACGGATGACACTGCCCCGTCCAACGCGTGCGTCACCACCCGTCCATTCCCGGTCGGGTGGACATCCGTGTTCCGGAAAAAACCGACGTGGTTGTCGCCCGACTGCATGAAACGTGTGCCCTTGTAAAGAATGATCTCGTTGCAGGTGAGAGGTCATTGCTGGTCTTCACGTTAGAAGTTCGCCGGGATCCGAACTTCGAGGTCCTCGGATAGCGTCATGTGACCGACGTGTTGAGGGCAAGGTGTGCCTCCTCTGTTTTTCGCCTGCGTTGTGCTTTGACTGCGATTTGACGCTCGCTGGTGTTTTATTTGCTTTCCGTTGTCGTCCGCAGACAATATGTCTTCGTCCAGGGGCGAAGGGGAGCCTGCAGCGACCTCCGGGATGGGATCTGGGAAAGATTCTACAAAACGGTCGTCCACAACCTCGAGGACGTGGTCCGACCACACTAGGTCGAAATGGTTCGTCGACTGGTGCTGTGCTGATGCTGCGAGCCCAGTCCAACAGCCGTGTGGTTCTGTGATCTTCGTCGAAGCCAACAAGCGCCGCAGGGTTCTGGGGTTTGTCTTGCGGTGGGAGAATGCGAAAGACAGTCGTCGACAGTTTTACATGAAACATGTGTACGGTTCGAAGGGGAACGTCGTCGCCAGTGCCAAGGGGGCAGTTCTCGACATGTGTCTGTTCGAGGGGTTCGGAGCGGGTGTTGCGAACACCCCGTTCTACAACGACCTCCGGCGACAGGGCGGGTTTGTTTTGGGGCGAGAGTTTTTCGACCTGTTGGAGGACAAGGGCATCGCCCTCGACGTCCCTTGCGAAGTCGGTCCCGACCTGGAACTGTCGATGCCTTTGCAGCCGTGCGGCGGTTGTGAGTCGAGCGGGGCAGCGGGGGAGGGGGGTGATCTGGGTTCCGGGGAGGCTACACATGTGCAGTGGGAGGATGCCAGAGGTCAGTTTGACGACAACAAAGATGAGGCGATACCTCGTCCGCCGTTTTCGCCGTTGAGGGAAAGAGACAGGTTCGTGCTGTCCATACCTGGGGTCCGGCAACAGACCGCAGCGGATCCCGAAGAAGAGGGAGTCCTGTGTGGGTCTGACTTGGATCCCGCCGAGGACCATGGCGCGGAAGGCGAGGCCGTGGGCGGGGAGGGAGCGCAGGGCACTCCCCAAAAAAGGAGGGGAGAATGTCAAGAAGATTTGGTGGGCTCTTCGAAGAAAGAGAAGACCAAGACCCCGAGGACTACGGGAGAGAAACGGAAGGGGAGGGGGGTGGAAGAGGGCCACCTGGGTAGCAAACGTCCAGCTTCGAAACATAAACAGCCTGAGTCGGGACCTTCTTCACCACGGCCTGCCATCGACGTGGACGCCGGGTACTTCCTGGAGTACAAAGACGGCGTCAGGACAAGGCGGGAGTTTGAGATCAGCCCGGCTCAGATCGTTGACATAAGGGAGTGGGAGAATCTTTACAACCAGCGGTCGCTAGATCCCGTCCTCGTGGAAACGATAAGGGAAGCAATGCGGTTTGCGTTGGAAAATAAAGAACAGACGTACGAGTTGCCGGTCTTCAAGCTCGCACCACTGGGGCTTCAAAAACCAACTCCTGGGACCAAGGCACAACGTCTGAAGCCAGAGGAGTGGAAGGATGAGCTGGCGGGAGAATACTACTACTACGCGGTGTGCGGGCAGCACAACGCGGCTGCAGCCAGGTCGCTGCTCGGCAGCGAGGTGGCCAAGAAGTACAATTTCGAGCGGTGGCCGGCACGGATGGTGTACTTTTCCGACGATGACTTCGAAGGGTATTTTCTTGTTAGTTCACAGGACAACAAGAAGGACCTGAAGGCGCCTCCCAGATAGTTGAAACTTTCTATGAAAGACATTTGATCGCAGTGAAAGCATGACGGTTGCCCGAGAGCTGTGATGGGGAACCCTAGCGGGAAACAAGATCAGGTCCGGGTTTGGCGTAAGTTTTGTATATCGGCGCTTCATAAGGCACCTCAAAACAGCTTGTGGCTTCTCGCGGATCAAAAGGAGGAGGAGGCCATTAAGAAGCAAAATGCTGCCCTGCGTTCTTACTTACCTCTGGCGATGGCCGCGGAAAATGTCTGGAAACTAGCCGTGGAATTTTTCGAAAAATTGGAGACTGGCAGATTGCTGAGCCACGATGGGGCGAAGCGGACCGTCAAAAAGAAGAAGGTCAAAAACGTAAAGCCTGGGGTCGCCTACATCCACAACGACAAATTGGGCAAAACGGAGGTGGTGTACAACATCCCCGTGGACCCGCTGAATAAAAAGGGCAAAAAGGAGAAAGAGGAGGGCGATTGGTTCGTGCAAGTGCCAGACCCGGACGCGCATTGTTGGAAAGCAATGGAATCACTCACGGACAATGAGAAGTGTCGCGTTATGAAAAAGGTGCTTGCTTGCGAGGTCGTTTGGGTCCAGGCCGGCTCCCCATCGTTGGCGAAGTTGGGAAAGCTCAGCGTGCAGGACATGGTTCAGCTGGTGAAGTGCGACCGCGTGCTGGTCCGGTTGTGGAATTACTACCAATTCAAACACGAGAAGAGGCCGGACGAGGACTGGATCCTAAGGTACCCTTTCCTGAAATCGAGGTCTGCCGTGTTCAAGAAGTTTGAAGGTTAGGAATTGGATGACGAGTTGTAGGATAACAGCAGGAAATACGTTTCCGACTCGGCGTTGTTCAAGGACTGCCCGCCGTACATGGGTTGCGACCAGGACAACTCGATTGAGGTGACGGAGAAGTTGGCGGGCCACAAGAAGTTGTCCGTCGAGTGGAGAAACAAGGTTCTCTCCGTGTTGAATGGAAACAGACTGAAGAGCCGGGAAGTCGCACTTGCCGAAGGCGTCGTTCACATTAAATGGAAAGACACGGGGGACGTGACATCCATCGCGCCGTTCGCCAACGACCCTTTTGAGGCAGACATCAGGGGCGCAGAGCTGAAGGAGGCAGTGGCTGCCACAAAGAGCCACACGTTCGTCCTAGATCTGTGCGAGCCGGTTGACCTCAAACTGTGGAAGCCCCAAGCGTGGGAGACTTTGAATTCCTATCTTCAGACGTGGTGTCCCTCGTATTAGACTCTCGTTGTTTTTGTGTCGCGGCAACACAACCTGTCGTTTCTCGCCAGCATGCACCATCTTTCTTTCGTCAAGCTGTTGGAAGGAAAGTGGGTGCGGAAAGTGCAGCAAAAAAAAAGCTTCCCCGTTGGGAACAATTTGTACACGGAGGAAGCCCGCATGTACATCCTCTTCAAGGGTGACGATCTGCGCGTCAACACGTCCGTGGTCTACGAGGGAAACCTGCCCATGGGTGCCGCTGCTGCGGTGCGATTGCCTCAGAGGGTCACCCAAACGGATGTGTCCGAGATTCCTTTCACGCCTTGCGACTGGTCACTGGTGGCGCCTGAACGACAGGGCAGCGTCTACGGGGATATGTAACGCAATCCAACCCAATTCGTCGGTCTTCTTGATTTTCTTGGCAAGAAGGGAGAGGTGTTGTGTTCCTTGGGAAACCGCACGCGCGAAGCGTCTGGGAGCTTCTGAAGGCCGGCCGACACGTTGTTGCAATGGAAGGGAACTCCGACCTCTTGCAATTCACGATGCAGGTRGTGAAAAGYGAGGTCAATTYGAGTGGGYACAATTGTGAGTTCATGGTCGTGAGGCCAACACGGGATAAGGTGTGGAGCAAGAAGACGGATATGTGGTTCAAGTTGAGCGAGAGGAAGAGGAACAAGATATACTTTTTTTTGTTCCTTCAAACGCGTCCGAGGAGGGATACTGACACCGAGTACATCCGCCGGAAGGACCACATGTTGGCACTGCTCGACAACTACCACTTCGCCTCCCGCATGAACGCGAAGACGTTCATCGAAAGGCTGCAGTCGTTGTACTTCGTGGAGTCCGAGGAGCAGTTGAAGTTAGCCAGTTACGCTTCCCTGATCTCCACTGACGACGAGGAAGCCATAGGTGTAAAGTTTGTCGCCAACGCGAAGGAGGAGGAGCGACACGGAGAGCATCGACCTGCACCACGACCCGGCTCTGGCGGACCACGACCGAGGGTCCTCGTCGGCCGGTCCGTCACCAAGCGCTGCAGCCCTCGTGTCACCATTGGCCAAACCGGTGCTGGGCACCACGCCGATGAAGTTGCTGGAGAGACTTAGAGCTTTGGCCGCCCCCCCGCCCGCTTTGCGTCCCGGGTCCGTTGTCCCGCCCGATCATCCGTCTTGGAAGGATGACAACATCTACTTCCTGCTTGAACCGCAACGTCATTCACCTGAGCAGGACTGGGGTCATGACATGGTTTGGCATCCGGGAGTCATCCAGCCAGCGATACGAAATGGCGAGTGGGTCATAGCCGTGGCAATCCTAGGCGCGGGATGAGTGTCATTCCCACGCGAGTCGAAGTCCAACTTCCTGCACCTCGCGAGGATTTCGGTCCTTCAGAAAGTGAAGGTCGAAAATGACACTTTAGCACCCGGCGACCTGTCCCTCATTTCCACTGTCGGTCGACTGTTTGACGAGCTTCAGGACAAGTGCTGGTTGGAATTGACGGAGGACTACTACGAGCTCGACACGAGTCCGTCGAAGGGCGTGGTGGACTGGAAAGTGCCCCCTCCCAGTGGGCCGGACGGTGGTTCCGGGGGGGGGTCACCTGGAAGCGGAGAGGATGGGGGTGGCGACGCAGGGGGTGGCAAAGGAATCCCGCCTATGGGGGAGAGAGGGTCTCACGGCGGCAACACGACACCGGGAGGCAGCGCCGGGATGGCGGGTTTCGCCGTCGACAGGCACTCGGCCCGAGCACACGACACACTCCGCCGACCCCCAGACTTCGTCCGTGGGCTCAGCGAGGGACACGTTGGCAGCCTTGGTTGCTCTGGGCATTCGCTCGGCCAGAAAGCCGAAGTTCGCCGGGATCCGAACTACGTCGGGTGAGGAGCCGCCAGAGCGGTTCGGAATGCGAAGCTGCTCGGGGTCGGGGGATCCAAGCACGGATCGAGAAATTCGCAGCATTGCGGCGCGGAACGGAGACGTCGGAACGGTGTCGCCCTCGCGGGAGCGACGGCCGCAAGGATTGCAGCGGGAGGCTGCAAGTGCAGGGTCCGGCGACACGGAGACCACGAAGTCCGCCGAGATCCGAACTTCGTCGGGTGGGGGGTGTCGGCCAGGGATTGTCGTGCCGTTGAGAGGGGCAGCGTGCATGGGGACGGAAGGGCGGTCCTCGCGATTCGGCACGGGTACCACGGAAGGGGACGAGTTTTGTGGGAGGGAAGTAGGGGAGGAAAGGGAGGAACAGAAGGGGGCGCAAGAAGGGGAGGAAGAAGGGGAAGAAGAGGTGGAAGGGGAGGAAGCGGGAGAAACAGAGCTAATTGATTTGTTTGAAGGAAGGGAGGGTGCTGGGTCTGGAGAGGACGAAGTGGAACACAGTGAGGACGATGCCGGATCTGGAGAGTCGTCTGACGAGTTCGGACAACTGTACGGAGAGCATCACGAGGATGATGTCGACGACGATGCCACGGCAATAGAGATGGAGACACAAGTGGTCAGCAGCCTTTCCGCAGAGCCTGAAGATTATGCGGTCCGGCCACTGACGTCTGCTGTCGACTTGCAGCACCGGTTCGACGAGGCTTCCGTCGCTATCAGCCCGTATGAAAAAAGTCGGCGTATAAGCATCGACGAAGTTATCGACGGTATCCTCGGCGACCACAACGTGTCTGCCCGTCCGTCCGCAACTGCCAACGTCGCATCTTCCATGGTAGCTGCCCTCGCTTCGTCGCCGCTGAAGTCTCTGGTGCTGCAGGCCACCCTTGCCGCCGAAGGGGAAGCGAGTGCGGTGGAGGACAGTATTTGACGTCCCCAAAAAAATCGAGGTTCGGCGGTCAAGCTCTCGACGTGCTCGCTTTGCCTGCGCCAAATTCTTTATCGAAGGAGCGGAGAGAGAGACAGACTGGTAAGCCTTGAAGAACGCCTGTGCATCCGAATGTCGCCGGATTACAGTCCGCACTATACACACGACGACTGTCCACACTGTCTGTGCATACGGGAAGTTCCGGGTGTCGGCATGCTACAGCCAGAAGCCCTTCCTACTCCAGCTCATCGGCCTGTCTGTGACTCGGCCGGGTTGCTAGTCCACGTACACCCCCGCATACGTCAGCCGATCACAAAGTAACGAGTACGCCACCAGATCAGCAACCCCGGGCGCTGGCACGTTCACCTGCTGAATGTCGTATCGCAACTGCCTCTCCTCATTGAACTGATGCCGCAACAAGCGATCTGCAAGCGGCGTCTGGAAATGCTCGAGGGGCTCATGCTCCAGCTGGCGATGGTTAATCCTGCTCCCTGAAACTCTCAGCACCAAGGGACGAGGCAAATCAGGAAGAGGAAGAAGACGAAGAAGGAGAGGAGGAGAGAGAGGACGAAGGCTCGGATGGGGCACGAGCCGATTCGCGGCCCGGAGATGGCCGAAACAGCCGAAGAGCCGCTGCGTGTCAGGTAAGCGATCTGGCCTACGTGCTATGCCGGGGGACCAGCTTCACAGAGTGCTGTCCTCGTGCATCAACTTCCGTCACTTCGTAAATGTCGGTATAGCGTGGGTGGATCTTGGAGGAGCGCGCAAATTTTCGTACCTGCACCAAGTCCCCGATTTTATAACGGGGCATTGGTCCCGTTGTCGCATGTCGGTTCTCATAGTCCCGGATCTGCCATTGATGCGTCAGATCTACGGCCCTTTGTTGTCTTCGGGCTTACGCGGGATAGGTCCGGGCCATCAGGATCAGGTAATGCTGGGCCTTGTCCTTGTGCTGGGCCCGGGTCACTCTAACTTCCGTACCCACTAGAGGTGACAACTGCACTCTGGGGACGCTATTGGTTCTCAGTTGAAACGGGGACACCCCTGTGCTCCCGTGGGGAGTAGCCCGATAGACGGCCAAAATGTGGTCGACTATGACAGGCCAGGGCCTGGTCTCACCTGCCGTGATATTTCGTCTAAGTGCAGCCTTGATCATTCGGTTGGCATTCTCTACGAGTCCGTTGGCTTGAGGCCAGTGCCCTGGGGAGTATGAAATTTTAACGTCTGCCCTTACAAGATGTCGCTCTACTTCCCCCTGGAACTCGGATCCATTGTCCATATGTATATCTTCTACGTCCAAGTGCATGCACAAAAAGCGATTAATGTACTAGGCTACTTCCTTCGAGTTTCGGTTGGTCATTGGATAGGCTTCGATCCATTTCGAAAAATGATCTACGGTTACAAGAAGAACATTGAGTTCTCCTTGATCAACAGGGCCTCTCGGCACGTTGACATCCGTCGTATCGATACTGACCCATTGGAAGGGGCGCTCTACCCGAGTAAGCACTATTGTACGAGGCATTTGTGTCTGCGCTTTATCGATCGCGCAGGCCGGGCAAGTCCGGACGATGTATTTCACATCGTCCCGAATTCCCGACCAGTACCATATGTTTTTCTCTATTGCTTTTTTCGTGTATTTGACTGCAAAGTGGACCGCATCCTCCTCGTGGGCGACTCGTGTCCAATCGAACCTAGCCTGTGGGTGTGGAACCGTCAGCCAACTAGACCCGTCGACGTCATCGTCTTTTCGTTTTTGTAGGATGGATCCCTGCCAGCGGTAATCGTGCGCCCGTTCTGTGACACGTCGCCTTTCAGCCTTGGTAAGTTCCGTCAGCGGATCGTCGGTCAGTCTCCTTAATAGCAAAAGATCCATCCAGACTTCCGCTCGGCGGACGTTTGACAAAAATCCGTATGCCGTTCTAGCTCCTAGATACCGTTTTTCCGTAGGTACAAGGTTCGTTCGACAGTTGGGACAGTTCCAACTTTTTTCATTCCGATAACGGGCACAACTCCCATGGGACCGGACGATGTGACATTGACTACATTATACCCAGGGAAGAAAGCTAAGCCCCTCAAGGGGAGGATCTCCCCCTGTCGGTATCATGGGCAAGGTGTAGAAGAAACAGATTTGGGAAGGCGTGCTCAGAGGGGAGTCAGGGTCAGGAGAGGGGGTTAAGGAATAGGAAAGGGGAGAAGGGGTGACGGCCTCCTCATGGGAGATCGCCATCTCCGATTGCTGCAGTACCCTTGCAGAGGACATTCACCTCCCCGTAGCCGGGTTCCGTCAAAGGCGAAATCGACTTCCACGGGATGAGTTTCTCGTTCGCGGGACTCTTGCTCGGCGTCTGGAGGCGCGTCAGACCATCGGCGTTCCTGTGCTGCCTCGTGGCACGCTGGCGGATGTCGAAGTCGTAGTCCTGCAATCTCACCGCCCACCTTCCCAAGGTACCCATGTAGTCCGTGTTGTTCCGCAGTGATAGCAATGGCTGGTGATCCGTCACGAGCACGAACTTCTAGCTGTACAGCTACGGTCGAAAATACTCAACTCCCCACACCACCGCCAAACACTCACCCTTGCACGCCTTGTAGTTCGACTGCGCCTGACTTAGCGTTTTCGACGCATAATCGATGACGTGCTCCCTTCCATCCGTTCCTTTCTGAGTCAGCACCGCCGATATCGCTTGCGGCTGCCAGTCGGTATGCAGCGCAAACTGTCTTGTCGGATCGGGACGCGCCAACACGGGTGCCGATGTCAGAGCCTCCTTGAGTGCCCGAAAGGCCGCCTCGCATTCCGGTGTTCAGATCAGCTGCTCCTCCTTCTTCAGCAGGTTCGCTAGTGGCTTGGCGAGGCAGGCAAAGCTCCGAATGAAGCGTCGATAATGAGAGCCCAGCCCTAGGAAGGCCCGAACTTGAGTGAGTGTGACCGGGGCCGGGGCTTCTCGAACTGCTGCTACCTTCCTCGGATCCGGTTTCAGTCCCTCGACCTTGACGATGTAGCCCAAAAAGGAAATTTCGGACAGAAAGAACTCGCTTTTCTCCAGAGCCACTTTGAACTCCGCATCTTTCAACGCATGCAACACCCATTCGACATGTTCCACATGGTACTCGTAGGTTTTGGAAAAGACCAAAATATCATCCATGTACACAATCACACAAAAATTTATCAACGGCTGTGTCAAACCGGTTTTGTTAACGAACTCGGCGAAGGCCATATTCATGGCCCGCTGGAATGTTACGGGGGCGTTGCAAATTTTCATGGGACACCGGATCCACTGCCACGTGTCCTCGAACAGGACAAAAGCGATTTTGGGTCCGTCTTCCGGTCGGACTGCGACGTGGTGAAAACTGTGTCGGATATCGAACTTCGAAAAGACCCGAGCGGACCCGATAGCATCCAGCAGATCGTCAANGTCTTCCGGTCGGACTGCGACGTGGTGAAAACTGTGTCGGATATCGAACTTCGAAAAGACCCGAGCGGACCCGATAGCATCCAGCAGATCGTCAATCCACGGCAGCGGATAGACATCTTTGGTAGTAATAGCGTTTAATTTGGGGTAGTCAATACACACTCGAACTGAACCGTTTCGTTTTGGCACGAGGACCACGGGAACTGACCACGGTCCCAGTGATGGTTCAACCCACCCTAACCGCTCGAACTCCCGTACCCTTTCCAAGGCCAGTTGTCTTTCCTTCAGGGAATAACGGTACGGTCGGCAATGTATCGGAGCGCGATCACCGGTATAAATCGCGTGTTGGATCAGGTGGGTAAGTCCTATATCGTGGTCCTGGATACTGATGACCTCTGGGTAGGCCCGTATAACTGCCAAAAGAAGGCGTTTCTAGTTGTCAGGCACATGGACCGGCAGTCGGACGTCCACGTTTCCCTCAGGGAGGGGGATCGTCGACGTAACCATGGGGACTGCCGCGTTGGCTTCGGGTGAGGCACCAAACAGAGAATTGTCGGTTTTTGTCGAAAGCACGGTCGCAATAAGTTGACTGTCTGCGGGGCTTATCGGCTCATTTTCCATGTCCTTGTCGTTCTCAAGCTCGGTTTCAGCCGAGGGTTCCACTGAAAAGGCCTGTATCAGTTCCTTCGGCCTCCATCGATATTCCCTCGTCCGGGGTTGAAATGACACCCCTTCCTTCAAGAGCAGGGCGGCTTTTGTGTTTGTAAGCAGGGGCCTGCGAGGCCGGAAAGTCAAATCGCACAGCTCCGTAAACCTTTCGGGTAGGGGGTCCGTCCTAAGATATAAGGACGCAGGGGGTCCCGAAAGGTCAATTATTCGCGACACCCTCAGCAGGGGTTCTCCCTGCACCACTGAGGACAACGCATTCGACCAACCGGACTCGCTCCGAACTATTTCCAGGGCTTCTCGTCGCCAGGAATGGCGCCACCGATCCTGAACCCAGATCAGTTATCGGTCGGGAACGTCAGCCTCGTCAGTTTCCGACGAGGTTTCATTTTCGCTTGGTGACAGGCGTCGGATCATGTTGATTTGATGGGCTTTCGTGGTGATTCGAGGCGCCGGCTGGGTGCGCATACGCACCGCCAATCTCATTGGTATCGTTTGTGGTTTGGGGTGGGCCGATGTGAGCACCACCTTACAGCCGTCAAAGTGCATTCGCGCTCCGACCGCCGCCTGCCATGGAATGCCTAGCAGAACATCATACGCCTGTACATCCAGCATGATTGCGTCGCACAAACAATGCACCCGCCCCACCCATATAGGCACATTCATTTTCTGCCCCTTACAATGAATGCTGTCTTCCGTAGCGGATATTCATCCAGTCGGAGAGGCTGAACCTGTCCTTCCCTTCCCAATCGTTTCGTCAAGCTCCAAGAAATGGCGACCGCTGACGATCCCGAGTCTAGGATGGCGGCCGAGGGGTTTCCCCAGACCTCGCAGTCACACTCAACGCTTTTCCAGGTTATAGGATAGGCTCGGAGGAATACCTCGGGTTTTTCCGAGGCGAAATCTACGCTCTGGATCATTCCTATCAGGTTGGCTTCGTGCACCTTTGAGATCGAGGGCTGTGACTCCT